AAAATTATAAGCTATAGGCATATATTTATTGTTATCTTCTTTTCTGAGAATGATGTCTACATTTGGCGAGAAGCATGCTTTAATGCACTCTGCAATATACCTTGCCCATACCAGTTCATTGTCAGTCACTTTTATTGCGTGCGGTCTGATTTCAACTGTGTTAGGGTTTATTTGAGTAAACAGCCTATAGTTATCGCCAGATTTATTGTCCAAATCGTCAAGATGCTTGTAGCGCATGCATATGTACCATAGAGGATGAGTGTACGACATGTCAAATGGAACAGCCAAACTGTCTGAATACTGGGCATCTGAGTTGGCCAGTGGTGCCATAGCAGCGTCATACATCCAGTTAGCAAACTCAAAGCTACACTGAATTGCTATAAATTCATTAATCCCAATGCCAATGTCTTTATAGACTTCTCTAATCATATTTCTTAAACAAGTTTTACCCGTATAACCACCCCATACATAGGTTAAAACATTAAGTATTTCATCTTGTTTTATGTTTTCAGCTATACCAAACAACTCTTCACTACTAATTTTGTATTCTACTGGGTCAAATTCATTTTCTATAGCCTTTCCTAGATTGCGGAGTACAGTGTTGCTCTTGTAGTCCATAAGGCGCGCGCTCATTATATATTCGATCACTATCAGCTTTACAACGTGTAGAGATGTAATGCCTGTATACTGGATTACTTCTTCTTCAGAAAGGTTCTCTTTGAGCAGGCTAATGTAAACATTCATTATTTCACTGTCTACTAGGGGCACATCAGATGCCTCCATTGGATGTATGTTGAATAGCAGACCGAAATTTGCATCTGCTGAAATGTATAAATTAATTTTATGATTTTTCACGTCTTTCTTTACAGCTCTCACGAAAAGCTCCACATTGCTCTTTGGAACAAAACCTGATGCAATTTTTTTATGTATTAGAGTGATTAGCCCTTCCTCTACGGCATCGTCCATTAGCTGAGATAGGCTTATGCTTGATAGAGCATATATTATATTAGCAGCCAGGATTTTATTGCTTTTTGCCAGCTTGAAGAGAGCTAGCCTGTCGAGACTGCTCTTCTCTACTCCGCTGCGCTCTTCTATTTCCTCTACCATGTGAAAGTCGTAGCTGTTTATTTTCTTTGTTAGCGAAGTGCTGATGTCAAGAGAGGGTATGATTATCTCAGTCAGTCTCTTTGAGCCGTCTTTGATTCTAGCCTCAAGTGTTAGGGCCTTGTCAAGAGCAGAGCCCTCATTGTCAATATATTTGTATAACCCAAGTATTGAGCTAGAAAGCTCTATAATTTGGCTAGACTCTCCCCTAAGGGTCTCAAGCTCTTCCATCATGGCATTTATTCTCCTTTCCATCTCGGTGCTTTTCTCGAAGAGATTGTCCGAGTTCAGTGCCAGAGCCTCAGAGTTGGAAGCTCTGAAGTCTGCAAAGAGCCCTATGCGCAGAACAATTTCTTTTTCAAAATAGGATAGTCTATTTTTCCAATAGTTATTTATGCTTTCCACATCGATTTCACTTAGCTCACACCTCGCTATGTGCAGATAAGCCAGTCCAGCAGCTCCTGCTACTATTACCTTTTTCAGTGCTCGTTTTAGGATCATAAGAATTAAAATTTTTTTACTATGTATACCCTACCCTATTCTGGACATTTTCTTGGGCTATTCTTAATTAAGAGCAAAGTTTTTCTTTTTACCGAGTGAGTTTGAACATAATGGAAATAAGAAGAGGTTTTGTGCAATTTGTGAGGAGAGAACAATAAGTTCATTTCTTATTTTGAGTTTATTTGGAGGCCATTTAAAGCACTGAGCTATCTGCAAAAAGACATGTTAATGTGTCAATGCATTGAATTCATGCTGCATCATTATGTGCTAACAGCAAATCAGCACCAATGATTCTCATTCTGCTCTTTACATGGCTAGCCAATAAGAACACATTTACTGCTACTGCTATAGTGCAGCCCAGTGCTGTAGCTATTTTGGCTATACCACTAGGAGTGGATCTAGTTGAAGAAGGCTTTCTCTCTTCTCGCACATCAGCCGCTACATCGGACAGCACATAGGGCACTGCAATAGGCACTGCAATGGGAGCTTCTTTCTCTTTCTCTACTTCTACTTCTATACTCTGTTTGTTTCCAAACTCCTTTAGCCTTCCAGCTATGCTAGTTTAACTTGTCTTATGATTGTTGCAAAAACTTTAGCAGAAAAAGAGCTTAAAAGACCAAGCATGTTCTGTGACAGATAACTTTCAATCTATTTTTGGCTGTGTGTCTGTACTTCCGAGGGCATAATTTGAGCAGCGGGTGTCTCAAAGCCGGGAGATGAAGCAAGGAACAGAGCAGTGTGGGCGCAGAGTGAGTGCAGAGTGTGACTGCTATCCTATGTAGGGTGGCAGCTGAGAGCAGTTTATCTACAGTGTTGGCTGGCTAGCTGGGACCAAGCAGCTAAGCCTTACATACTGCAGTTATCTGGTGTTCTAAGTATGTTTCGTGGTGTGTTCTTTTTGTGGACTATACCTAGTTAACACTAGTGGTTTTCATTGCATGCCTTGAGAAGGCAATAAACACTGCTACTATGAGGAGAGCAGCTAAAGATGCGAGTAGTACAGCTCTTTGTGCTGTGGTCAGTTTTCCTCTCTCGGGTACTGGCTGTGGCTGTGGCTGCACTGTGGCTTCTTACCACGGCTCTTCTTTTTCAAACACCATTTCCATCTTTATGTTCTGTGCTTCCAGTGATTCTTCTAGCCTTCTAAATATGTACTCCTGCTGGACTGGGATGATGAAGTACAAAGATTGAAGGTCGTTGAGGAATCTGCGGACATTGCTGAACTGCAGGCTTTCTTTTCTTGAGCTCCAGCCGAGCTCTATCATGTCATTGTTTATCTCCTCCAGAGAGCGCTCTCCACTCTCTTCTTGCGGGCCTGTTCCACTGCACTTCGTCTGTTCGTCTTCCAGGGCTTGCCTCTTGTTCTCCAGCATAGCCATGTTCTCAGTCACTTTTTTCTCCAGCTTGCCCTCTCCGGATATATGGTCTCTGTTGAACTTCCCCAAGTTTCTTTTTATCTTCAGAACCTTGGGCTCGTCTGCTCCGCCCAGGAGGTCGGTGTTGTGTGCCATATACTCCACTGCGCAGACCATGTGAGTCAGCATGTTCCTCTCAAACTCGATCTTTTCTATGTTCTCGAGGGTAGAAACGACTGCTCTCAGGTCTTCTTCAGAGGGATACAGCTCATTCAGCTGGGCGGCGATAGACTCTTGTTGGGCTCTATCATTGACATCTTCCACTTCTTCGATCTTCTTAAGGATGTCTCTGACTTCATCGTATTTTTCCTGAATGAGCTGCACTCCGTGGTCCACGAGCAGCGCATCAGTCTCTTTGTCCCTTGCAGTGTACAGGCTGTGCACAGTGTAGAGTTTGTCTAGAGGTGCAAAGTTCTTTAGAACGCCTGTTTCCACCGAGTCCATCAGCCCGGGAATGTAGCCAAAGTTCTGTTTGTCCAGCCTCTCTTTGGCAGACTGTGCCGCTCTTTTCAGGTCTGGAAACTTTGCATGGTCTATCTCCAGTGTGTATGTTCTGCTGCCTAGCTTAGCCCTGCCGTCATCTGCTTTTATTTTTTCTATTTTTCTATCCTTTCTGTGTATGCCGTGCTCTGGGTTGTATATGAAGGGATTGGGTGCGATGATCTCACTAGCCAGAGAGATAAAGCTGGACATAATTGGCGCGTCTTCTCCTTTCTTTATTGCCCTATTTAGTTCGCTTACAACTGCAGTTCCCTCATGCCCAATGTGCAGAGCATACTGGTAGAAGTCATTTTCAACTATGTCTAAGATGTATTGGTTGTCGTCAGCAGTATACGGGCTGTTTTCTATTTTCAGATTGTTTTTGAGTATGCGCTTGAGAACAGCCAGTTTGCCTACGCTATTCTCGTTTTCAACAGCTGCTCTCATGTCCTGCATGCCTTTGATTTCTTTGCATGTGTTTAGCATGCCCTCGATGTCTATCAGCAATTTGACTTCTATCATGAGTATTTCAAAAGTTTTATTGGAGTGGTATTTTAATTAGCTGATCTATGCATTCTATTGGTGCTTCTATTGTAGGCCATTCGATGAGCATTTGGAGAGCAGCTGACTGGCTGACTGAGCACTGAGCACTGCTAAATAGTGTATTTACGTGTACTGGGCAGGTGTTCTACTGACTGTCTGTTATCATTGTGAGTTTGATCAGGATCATTCGGTGACTGACTAGATCCACACACAGACACTGGTTATTGACACTAGAGCGTGTTTTAGGGTGGTTTGTGCTGTACTAGATTGTAGAGTGCTCTTGTGCAGTGCTGCTGAAAAGAGATGAAAGTGTGCAGAGGAACTGTACAAATATAAATATAAGTGTGTTTATTTACTTGTGCACTAGCTGGCTGTCAGCTAGACTAGATACCTCAGGCCAATTTAGACACATGTATGTTCCTATACTGTTCCATGCTCCTGTGATATAAAATGCCCATGCCTAGTGGCCAGCTAGTTGACATTCTTCTTATTCATTTCATTGCTTATATACAAGGATAGTATTATTAGCATAAAAGCCCCAATCCCGATTATCCATTTTGTAATTTTTTCTTTTCTTGCCCGCTTATTCTCTTTTTGCCACACATCCACTACTACATTATTCTGCGATACCACAGCTTGTTTTATCTCTCCGATCACGTGGTCTTTCTGGA